TCCCACCTCGGCTGTGTGAATGTGCACATTCCAGAGCCTCAGTTTCTTCCTGGGCAACCTAGCTCAAAAATACTGCAGATCTGAAACCAGTTCAGCACCATCGAACTTCAGCTTCCCAACACCATAGCAGAGCAGTTTTAAGAGCTCCACACCTCCAGCTTCTGGAATAAGTTTAGAAATTTTCATTCAGCAACGGTCCAAGTTGATTCTGCTCTCAAATTTGAAAAACATTACAGGAAGACACCATCTGGTTCTATCCAGCACCAAGTCTCTCAATACTATTTTAAGAAAAGTAAGTGAGCAAAGTTTATATAAGGTTAAACCAATACCTAGTCTTGGGATGCCAGAAAACACATTAAAATCATGAGGGGTATTCTCCTAGACCCACCGCATTTTGACAATTTATTAGTGAAGCGTGGGCTACTTTGATGTGGAAAATCATTTGCAGAGGAGAACCTAAACACCACTCACTTCTAAACAAATAGCCAACAGAGTTTATAAACAAAGTCTTGAATGCTTTTCTGGAACCAAGCCTGAATTTATAACCTCCCAACCTCCAAATAGGAAATGCAGCTTCTCCACTCACCAAAAAGCTGGTCAGAAACACTTCTGTCTGTACTTTGGATTGAATGGTGAATTTGAAAAAAAAAAAAAAGACAATATTTTTTATAAATTTAGTCTTGCTTTCCTAAGTGGCAACATGATACAATGGAGCATAAAGGCAGACAGACCTGGGTTCAAATTCCTAGTCTCTTCCATTATAGCAAGAAACTAACTTCACTGAGCCTCTTCAGTGACATGGGATAATAGTTTCTGCCTCTCTTGATTATTATGAGTTTTAAAGTGACAAAGTAATGATTGGAATATATTAATGTTCGTTTCCTCCTTTCCCTCCAGAACCCCTTGTCTAAGATATTTCCTGGACAATAAATAACCAGAAAAACATTTCCCCCTTGTATTAAATCCTAAGCATGCCAGAATCCCTCAAGCTAAAATAGATACTATAAGACTTTCTGCATGTATGCAAGTGCTCCATATACATTCTCATGATTGATACACACTTATTGCAAATACATAATCAGAAGGTGTCCACTGCCAATCCCACTCAATGACTAGATTGAATTATGTAATATTGCTGATGTTTGACCATTTTACATTGACAACTACAGCAATTTCATACAGTTGCAAATGCCACTCTGGAGCAAGGGTTTCATATTTGCTCACCCCAGACTTCCAAGGATCATTAGAAATTGAAAACTCAGTATTTTCCTCCCAGTTCTGCCATTTATCAGCTGTATGACTTTGAAAATCATGTAGCAGCCTTGGGCCCTGGCTTCCTGATTTATATAACAAACATAACATCTACCTTCCTATCTTTTTCTGTTCTGTGATTTTACGACAATAAAGACGCACAGGCATGTAGTTGAGTACATCCAAAATGCAGCGTGGGTGGGAATGTTTTTAACTTTGCCATAAAAGTTTTCTTAGTTGTCCCTTCTGCATCCATCCTGCCCTCTTGCTTTGAAGCGCAGAAGACAGAGACCGTGATGATAACAATGTAAAGCTGTGTAAACTTCTTCACAGGGTTCTTAAAATGCACTTCTAATTTGGCACACCCTGCCACAGCGGTACTGGATTTCTCCTTAAACAAAAATGGTCACGGGTGTCAAAGAGATGTGAGTGAGTGTCCACTGAACTGTGTCTAAATGATTTTCCTTGTGAGGAAAGCCAGCCTTGAATGAGCCCCTGAGAGTGAGGAGAGAGAACCTGCTTCCCAGGCAGTGGAGGCATTGTTCAAAGTAATGAGTTCTGCACCACTTGGTCCACAATTCACCGCTGAGTCTGATTTTCCTAGACAAAGAGCAATAACCGAATGGGGATGCTCTTCAGCAAGCTTCTCTGAGCAGATTACTGTTGACTCATGAGGCGGCAGAGGAGGGACGATGACAGTCTTCCTAACCGTCTATGTCCTATGAATGACAAGTGGAAATGTCTGTCAACCTTGGTCACTGTTAGGCCAGGTTTGGCATGGCTATAATGGATTTCTATCAAGTCGAAACTTACTGAAAATGCCTAGAAATTTTTCCAGCTCTAAATTAAAAGGTTTAAGTGCCCTATTGTACTTTTTCTATCATAATTTTATAGCCCCCTCCCATTTTTTTTTCCAGAGAAATAGTCATGATCCTTCAGGCATGCAGGCCAACCCTATTCTTAGGAGTGAGCTGCAGGAGGTTTATTGTATCGTGAAACAGGGAGTCAGAACAAAGGACTACTGAATCACTCACCTTATCTTCATCTAAGAAATCCAAGAATTACAGGGTTTCTCTGTTCCTCCCAAACTCAGGAGCAGTACCTGCCCAGACTCTAGGTTTTAGGGCTCAGTCTGTACTACAAAAATGTAAGATTGGTGCACATGATGCTTTTTACCATATATACAGATTCTTATCTGAAATGCTCAAAATCAATGTTTAGGATTTTTTTCTAATCGAAGTTTAAGCATTTGTTTCTGAATCAAGAAGTCTGATCACTTAGCACTAAATAAACTATTCTTAAGATGACCATGGGTAGTTATCTTTACCCAGAAAACCAGAAAAGTGTTAGAATTCTTTCAGAATTCACAGCTCTTAGTTCACTAAGAGTGGGAAGCTGGATTTATTTATCTTGCCTTCCATGTAATTAGTTTTCAATAAATATTTGACTAAATGAATAAATTAAGTAGAAAACACTTAATTAAGAGTTTTCCCACTATAGCATGGCACCTTAACATGAAACACCTTTATAATATTCTACTTTTATAATTTCATCCTTATAATTATTTAGAAGACAGATATTAAAAAGAAATGTAACTGCTGTTGATAATGTGGGAAAATGTAACAAACAGAAGCAATGACTTCAACAGCTTTTATGAAGAATCTGGTGCAGCTATAAATCCTGGCTTTCTCTGCCCATCAACCCTCACTCCCTTTGTCTCCATCCCCACGGCTCTCCCCACCCCGCTCCCACACTCCCAGGATCATTATCCCAGGATCCACTAAACTGCAGTTTACCTCCCAGAACCAGCAGAAACACATGTCACTGAGAACTAGGAAATTGGAGCTAGTTACAAGACACCAAAGAGGGTCACAGAGTATGTGAACCTGAAAATTAGGAGTTTTTCTATTTTTTTAATTATGAGAAAAGGGGAAAAACTTAATAAAGCATTTTTTAGCATTTCATCTAAATAGATTGCAGAATGTATAGGCATTTATGATGAGGGAGATGAGAGAAATAACTAACATATTATTTGCTAATCATCTGAAATTAACATTATGCTGACTTCATTTGCTGATGGTGGAAGGATATTGTCTGGTCATTTCTATCACTAATAAATTTGAAAGCAAACTAGTGAAAAATAGGAAACAGCAAGACAGTGCTCATATATTACTTCACCTAAGGTATTTTTATGTACTCTGTCCTAGGAAGAGTAACTCCATTTTACATTACTTCTAACCAATGTTTATTTAATATAAGCAACGAGGTATGTGAATTATGCTGCCAAATATTGATGCAACCTAAGAAAAATGAGCAACGAGAAACTACAGCTCCTTCTATCTACCCCTTGCCGAATGCTAACCTACTTGTAAACAAATGAGATTTTAAAAAGGGGATGGAGCTGGCAAAACACATTTTTAAGAAAACGAAAATGACTCTCTTAACAGAAATCTTGAGAAATCTAACTGGCTTGCTCAAGGCCTCCTGAAACATTCCCCGCAGAAAATGTATAATATTAAACCCAGAAATGACCAAAAAGCCAGAGCAACTGGAAAAACAATCACCTCCCCTGAGACAGCCTTTGTTTCTTTTCAGTGGCATTTTACTTTGGTTCATTTTGGAGCGAATCTCGTTCTCAGAAACGTACCAGGGGACACAGGTGCTGTGGGTTTGCACGCGCCCCGCCCTCCACCCGGAGGAAAGGAGGAACAGATCGTCCCCGTAATTCTCAAGAGCAAGCACCTGAGCGATTTTTTTTAAACTACCTAACCAGGAAGTAAACATATTTTATTCGCCTTCACTTTCATGGGCTAGAAGAGGGAGGAGGAAAAAAATTTCAGTGACTGCCCCAATTAGCAATTTCTCATCATTTTCTTCCGCCTAAGATCAAAGCGATAAATGTCTGCATGTGGGAGGGGGCCGGTCTTATTTTTCAATTTAGTTGGTTATTGTTTTAATGCTGAATTCCTAAGGTCAAAAGGAGACCATACACCGATTCCACGTTACAAACAACAAAGAGCAGCCCGGGGAGGAGCGGCGAGGGCGGCAGGGCAGATCTGCGCGGAGCAGGACTTCGGGGCGCGCGGGGTGGCGTCCGGGACTGGCGGCCCCGTAGCCATGGGAACGCCGCGCAGGCGCAGAGCGCGGCCGCCGCCGCGGGGCCCCGACCTTCCCCCGCGGTCCCGCGCCGCTCGGGTGCCCCTAGTTTATTCCGGGAAAAGGCAATGGAGTAAATCCTTCTCGCGCCGAGAGCAGCCGGTCTCCTCCGACAGGGTCCTGCGAGAGGTCGCCCAGCGCAGGAAGAACCGTGCGACTCCCCGAGTGTAATGGACACCGCGCAGCCTTCCTTCTCCGGGAAGCACGAACCTGCTCTCTCCGCGGCGTCCGGGGGTCAGAAACGGGTCCCCCGGACCCGCGCGGGGGCGGAGGGGCGATGCACCCAGCACGAATGCTTGACCTTCCACCCGGCAAAACCCACCCACCACCACAAGAGGCCCAAGAATTAAGTTCTGGGGCGGCTCACACTCTCCATCCCTCTGAATTACGGGACCCCACGCCCAGCCGTGCCCAGGGCTGCACACAGGGGCTCGCGGGACCCCACGCACAGCACTCACACAGCCCTAAAGAGCGTTTCCCGGCCCGGACAGCAGAGAGAGGAACGCGGGCCACCTGCTCACTTGCACACCTGGACTGCCGAACCAATCTCCCTTTTCTTTCTCGTGCCCCCTCGTTCCCCCAAAAGCACTGACCTGCTCAACTTTGAGTGTTCGGCAGAGGAAGGATTCTTCGGAGTCCTCGGCGCAGGAGCGACCTCCAAAGTGCGCGAGTGACGAGTTATTGGCTCCTGTGACTCCAACTCCAAAACCTTGTCAAGGGTCAGAAAGACTCCTAGAAGGACACTTCTCCCCACCAGCCGGCAGGACCGCCCCCTCTCCCAAGACGCGCAGGGAAGAGCGGGGCGCCGACGCTGCACAACCTGCTTTCTCATTCAAATCCTCCAGCTCGCCCTGCAGCCCCCTCCCTCCTAGCCCCGTAGCTCCCGCGGAAATCAGGAACTGGAGCTGGCGAGAGTGGACTGGAGCTCCCGCCGGCACCACGGGCTCCAGCCTTCCGTCTGGGTGCAGGGAGCCGAGGGTTGGACCTTGACCCCTAGGCCTACACCCCTTTGCGGGGATCCGCAGCAGGCAAGGGTCAGAAGCACTGGAAATAGTCTATTTATATCCCCCCTCAAGTTTCAATGATTCCCCAACCCAGGGACACCCCATTGGTGCTCAGTTGGGGGATGTGTCCCGGAGAGCCTCAGTAGTGGCAGAGCACAGGAGTTCGGCTAAACGAAGTTGCAGGTGAGGATACAGGGACTGGGGACTGTGTGCAGTTTGCACCGAAGTAAAAAGTGTCAGGACTACATCTTAAAGAAAATCCCAGACTGTCCATCTTATCGCCCCTCGCAGTTTTTTGTTTGTTTTGTTTTGTTACCATTTTAAGAAAATACAGCATCAATTCTGCCGTTGCAACTAAGATCTACTTTGAGTAAAGTGCAGCTAAGACTGAAGAAGAGGGAGTATAGGTAACACTTTCTATTTGCCTCCGCTGTCTCTTCTTCCAGATGCTTCTCTTAAGTGTTATCGGGCCAATTATTCAATCAAATCAATTTAGTGGCTGGCGGACTCAAACAGCCAACCTGCGGGCAGTTAGAGCCTGGCCATGGCAGAGGAAAGCTCGTATACAGTAGGCACTCAGAGGGTGATGAAACGTTGAAGTCTACTGAGCGCACTACGGTGGTGAGCGAGCAGGTTGGTGCGGCTGCTGGAACGCCGGCAACCAGCTGGCCTCCGCAGCCGCGAGGAGATCCGGCGTCGGCATTCCAGGATTTGCATTTATCAGCATTCATTCAACCTGCCCTATTGTTAGTTCAAAGCCTGCCTGGGAGGGTCTGCGAGACTCAGCTCCTCACCTTCAGTTTAAAATTCTCCACCAATAAGAAGGCTCTAGAAAAGCCGACAGCATGGGGTTGGCAGGGATTTTCTGGGCTTAGTGACAACATAAACTAAAGTCATTTTCTTTTTCATGCGTGAATTTGCTCAGGAAGCTACAAATGAGTGCCAGAGCATGCAGAGCCGGGCATGGCTGCCCGTCCACTTTGACGGACACTTGGGGGTGGGGGATAGCACCGTGACTTCTCAGCGCTAGATCTAGGGTTTCACCTTTTCATCCCACTTAGCCGATACCATAGAAACAACCCATTTGTATTATTCAATTCAACGGAGGCAATTACAATGTCAGAGCAAAGCACCATGGGCAAGAAGAAACTTTATCCTGAAAGCAGTTCTGGACTCTCAGAAGAAAAGGAAAAGCCACCAGAACAGTCACTTGAATTTCTTCCTGCCAGGGTACCAAGGAGAAATCAGTTTGGAAAAAGACATAGAAGGTCTTTGGGTTCCATAGAAAGAAACCGCCCTAAATTTACTTTTTTTTTAATGTACCCACACAAATCCTCAATTTATCAGAAATTAAACAGATATTGTGAATCATACTTAAAGCTTGGTCTTCAGTGTTTAGGACATAGGAATAAGCCCATAAATCTTTTAATGTAACTTTTCCCCCTGAGTCTTCTTTTTATACCATTAATCTGGGGGAAAAAAACAACTACAACTAAGAAAATGATGTTACATTGCCAACTTTTTGGAAGCAGGAGAAAATAAGTTTTCCCTGCCATGACAATCAGGGGAAATAATAACAAAGGGATTAGACAGTGGGTAGCAAACAGCCTAAGTCACACAAGCCCCTCCATGGTTACCGAAAAGTCAATAGAAAACCAAAACAAATAACACCCTCTTACTCCACTGGTTACAGGGGATTGGAAGAAATGGGATCTTGGTTAACACTTCTTTGAGCTGTATGTCCTATATGGTATTAAAGAACCTTTCTTTCTTTCTTTCTTTTTTTTTTTTTGAATGATCAGGTAAGCCATAACCTTTTAATAAGGATATTCAAATGTAAGGGGGTTCCTGCTAGTACTTCAATTCAAGATTGAAACCAGCCCCGGTGAAAAGTCTGGGGCTGAATCCAGCTTCCCCACACAGGAGGACCTCCACCCGCACGGTGAGTCGCAGAGAGCCCTTTACAGGGGTCCTTTGACTTAACCTCCTCCCAGCAGTAAAGAGGGCTGTGAAAGCACCGATTTTTCTTACATGCCATTGACTGGTGAAAGACATCCTTCCCAACCCCCCACTCCCCTCTTGCTTCCAGAGCGATGACTCTCATTAATTATACTGGCACAGCACTGCCTGGCCTCCCTTCTAAAAAGCTGCCGGATTTCTACATATCACCTCTGCCTTGATACAGAAGGCGCACTGACACCAGGATCACAGAAAATCCTGTAAAAGCTGCCTGAGACGCAGTAAGGTGATTGATGTACCCTGTGGTTGGGCCCGCTGTGCTGCATATCGTAAGGGGCTTCTTAGCAAACTGTCCTGGGAATCTGTGTCAGAAGTAGGTTTTTCTAGCTGTAGAAAAATGGTGCTTTCAATTGCAAAAATAGCTATATTTAAGAGAGTCAAATTTAACCATGCAGCGAGTGAAGAAGATGAATATTATCCCTACTTCAATAAATACATAAAGACGTCAAGAGGACTATCAGAGTTTAATTCTTATCCAGAAGGAGTTACCCCCTTTTCAACACACATTTGTTGAGTACTAGCCATGTACCAGGCACTGCTCTAGATGACGTCTTAGCTGGACTATAGATAGTACTGAAGTACACAGCAGTCGCTGTCCTTCAGGCCTTACTCCCCATATCAGTCAAGACTTTTGGGTGCAAATAAGAAAACAAGACCCAAATCAAACTAGCTTCTGGAGGAAAACCCAATGTACTAACTCACCTTAACAGAGGTGATTCAGGAATGACGGGATCCAGGAGTTCAGCATCATCATTTCTCTCTCACACTCATTCTCATTTTTTGCTTCTATTTTCTCTCCCTGCTTTTCTCCATGTTTTAATCTTATCTCTCCTATTACACATGTGCATCCTCTGTAGGCTGGTGGGGGTGGGGAAAGCATTACCAGGGACAGGGCTAGTCTTCGATCATCTCGGCTAGTGATCCCAGGGGAAAGAGAGGCCTTCCTTGCTTTTATCATGTGCAAATAAGGTTGTAGGAAAGCATTCTAACTGACCTGGTTCAGGCCATGTGTCCATCTGTAGATCTATTAATGTGGGCAGCAACAAGTACAGTATATGTGTGGCCAGTCCCTGCTTACACAGCCACCCCTATATATAGGCAGGGAGGTGAGACAGCAGAGGAGCAGCCCCACCAGAACTCCGAGGAGATAACATCGGGAGGATTTGTTCCTCCCGGGAGGTGAGGAGGAGATTCTGGCAGATAAAAAGAGCAGGTGTTCCCTACAGTAGGCCCTCCTGAATCAGCCACCTGAAAAAGACATAAGGACCTTTGTACGGATTCATATGTATATAACAGATTTTTTTTTCAACGAGAAAAGAAACTTCCTGAGTTCATCAGCAAAGGCTGGGGGGTGGGGGAGTAGGGGGTGGACCCTTGTAAATGCCACCAATCTTTCCCTCCCAAGCTGGAGAGTTCCTTTGTTTTATGTTTTGTGTTCTTCATGAAAATTTTCATATGTACACAAAAGATGAATCATAATGAAGCACTATGTATTAGTCACCAGTTCCAAAAATTATTAATAGTTTGGCACTCTTTTATATATTCAGAAATGTGGTGAACTCACTGAAATACTTCAATTTATTTTTAAATTAACACATTGTTGCAGGGCTCTAATCTCGGTTAATGGAATAAATGCAACCTCCAGAGTTAACTAAACTATGACCAACATATGTGAAGCTCCTAGTACAAACTGAGCTCTCAAAAATGTCAATTATTTGTCTTGGCAACCTATTGAAAGCTTTAAAATACTAACAACCTCTACACACTGAAATGTATTTGACCTATGGAAGATAAAACATTTAAGGTTAAATCTCTTACCAATAGACAACAACATTTTTCCATGATCCATTTTTAAATGTGCTATTCATATTTTTTCCATAGCAAGCCTACATAATTGTTTCTCCTTTTATATGGAAATTTTAAATATTACAAGCAAATGCACTTTTTCACCTTACACATACGGAGACAATACAGGTTAACTTTTTGTCAAGATTATAGGAATGAGTTTGGACGAGGTGTCAATTCTAACCTCTAGGTTCCTTACTTTGGCAAAAGTAATTCATCCTGCAAATGTCCCACAAAGATAAAGGGGCAGTGTTGTGCCTGCCCAGGTTTAAGTTCTTCAGCTCAACTAAGGTTTCCTTATATCCCAGTTACGTTTCTCAAGACATTTTCCGTTCTCAGCATAGAATGAATACTTTTTAAAAGGCAGCAAATACGCTCAAGTGAAATTTTCCCACCTTCCATTTTCCCCCAACTTGTTTCATTCTTTCTTTCTCCTGGGGGTTTGGAGGGCTGGGAATGAAGTATTTCAGAGAAAATGACAGTGTCAGAGGAGGACAGAGCCCCTTTTCCTTCTTCCTAAGTGCTTCACAGCTGAGCTCCGTGAGGCTCCTCTCCAGAAAGACCTCCCACAGAGCCGGGATCTGCAGCTTTCCGGATGGTCAGAGCCTGCTGGGCGGGACAGACCTGTAACTGAAGTCCTTGCTTCAGCTAGGAAGTAAAATTGAAATTCTGAAATGACATCTTTCCATTATAAAATGTACTTGATTCCCCTTCCCATACTACCATTAAAAATTCCTGCAGGATCCTGTAGTATAATTAAAAGAAAAGCATATCTTCATAATTGCAGACCAGTCATCTAATACAGCAATCATTTCTCCAGACACTGAACACAATTTTGGATGAATGAGCAAGCTGCATTACAGAGACAAAATAAAGAAAGAAACTGATAAGGCAGGGTGTAAATCCCAAAGCTTTGGAAGCTGGGGGAGGGGAGTGGTGGGGTACCGATGGATAACAGGCAGGCATTTACACCACAAGGAAAATTCTTCTGTTTCCTTACTATTTCTTACTACTTGAAATCCTAATGGGGCATGTACTCTCCATTACTAACACCTGTTTAGTTTACTAGTTAACTAAATCTGGTTTAGTAATTAACTGGACAACAAATGGTTAGGTTTTTCCACACAAACATAATAAAAGGAAAAACTGCATTTTAAAAAGTGCATGTTGGTTATTGTGTCACTGACTTACATATTTAAACTAAGTGTGTACTTAGGGGGCTTGATTTTTCCAAAGTAAATGACATTTTACAATTTGACAATTTTAAAAAAGTGTTCTTTCAGACCATTTAAGGCAAATTAATCTTCATGGTGTAGGATCATAGGATGTATCGGCAAATATAATTTCCAAAAAGCAAGAAACCAGGCTGAATGTTGTAGAGGGAGCAGAGATGACCCGAAATTTAACAAGGTGTGGCTTGAGTTACAGGACCCACTCACTGTGCCTTGAGAAGTGGGAAGACAAG